CTTGAAGATGACTATTAAGGTTGAGTAGGAACCTTTGTTAAACTGATCAGAAAAAGCCTATGTATTATCTCACTGAAAACAACCGAATGGGAATGCATAATTTTGTCTAAATTTAATCTCTATGAAACTGTATTGTACTGAATAAATTATTTAAGTCCTAACTACCTTGAAACTAGCTTATATTTTTGTGGTTTTAACCTATTAATGTCATATATGATCAGAAGTTTACTTCCAAACAGAACTTTATACTCAACACTTACAAATTTAGCAGTGACCATTTCAAACAAAAAAAATTAATCTCGAAAGTTGGTTAGTAGAAAGGTATTAAATTTAGATGTTCCGTATTTTTTCATTAAGCAAAACAAGAATTTACTCAATCACTTGATTTTCAATGATAAATATAAACGATATGTAACTGTTTCTTTCTTAATTTCCCTCTCTTTTAAATTTAGTCATAATTGGTGCAAAACCTGGTACAAATGTGGTCAAATTAGGGTCATGTTTTCATACCTTAGTAACACTATGATGAAATTTACAAAATGAATAGTGATAAAAAAAAAATATAAACAAAATCAAAGTATAGTGACTATAATGAGAAAGATTAAAAATTTAGAGTACAGTTCGAAAAAGATAAAAATAAATGGCATATATGAATAAGTACTACAGAGTATGATCTACAAAACAATACAAAGTGTATGCAATTTTGACATTTTCAAATTGGATAAAAAAAATAACGAATATGAAGTAGAAATACTTTTTTTTCGATACCATAGTATTACTTTTTTGTAAGAGAAGATAAAACGGAACCATTTTTTTAAAGATACCTTTTTTGTTATTTTAGTATACATTTTGTGAGATTTTAATTTATGGACGACCTTTTGAGCGACTCTAGATTGACCTTAAGAGTGTCCACCTAATAACCAGGACCAAATGAGGGTTATACACCTGTGTGTGGAATTAGAATTATGATTTACAGTTAATGAGTAAGACTAGGAATTAAATTTAGGGTTTTCATCACAAACTGACATCAGGTATAATGCCAAAACTCTATTTATCTGAATGGATGAGTGAATTTCGCGCCAAAATCCGAGACCTGTTATCTTATACATGATTGATTTGTCCATAAATTATAGTCTCACCAAAAGCTAAGACATAGTGTAAATGACAAGCAATAATTTCATATTACATATAGCCTTGATAGCTTTTTTTAATAATGTAATAAAAATAAATAAGCATAACCGTCAACTATGCAAGTACTTTATCCATATAACTAATAAATATTCAGCATATAATGATAAACATTTTGTGCCAAATAGTTGAAAGCAGTTGACAAGAAACTTGTGTTCTCTTTCCATCCTGATTAAGGTTCATATTTGAATCCTTTAGAAACACAACAGGCCTTCCAGAGATTTGAAACCACGTCAACTAGTTCCTCAGTCACATATTGTCACTGAGTTAAATACTGTAGGACTGATATCTTAATACATTAACTCATATAACAGAACCATATATCTACACTTATATTGTATACATTATGAAGTTAGGTCGTTATGAGGCTTACAACAGTAGCAGACGCCTCTGTGACACTGGGCCTCATTATACACAAGGAAAAAACCAAGATCCTCAAATACAACACGAAGAACACCAACCCAATCACACATGATGGAGAAGCTCTGGAAGATGTAGAATCTTTCACGTACCTGTGGTGCGTCATCAATGGACAGGGAGAATCGGATGGAGACGTAAAGGCGAGGATCGGCAAAGAAAGGACGGCATTTCTACAGTTGAAGAACATATATAATTTAACGCAACTGTCAACCAATATCACAGTCAGAATCTTCAATATGAACGTCAAGACAGTCCTACTATACGGAGGGGTAACATGTGTAAGTAAGTTTACAACAGTAACTTAACGGTGTATCATTTTTTATATTGAAAAGTCAGAATGATGTAAATATGATATTCTTCATTTTATATGATTCAGTGTACACAGTATTCAGATGTTACTTTCGTACATTTTTCTCTTGCTTATATGCCTTCTACCTGAATAAACATGATCAGCTAATTGTGTATCTGGATGACTTAAGAAATCTATTGAGTAGTATTTATGTATTATCTTGTCTTTTTCAAATACAAGGATATTAAAATAGCAAGAGATTATGGTTATTATTTTCATTTTTTTGTGATGTGTAGTTAATTAAATCTGGAAATGATTTTATCAATCAGTAATTTTTCTAATAGTTGAATTCATGAGTCAACTAAATCTAAACCATCATGGAAAACTTGGAAGCATTGGACGGTCGTTTCGTTCTAGTATAGGGCTCCTCAACAGTAAGTAAAATCATTGTGTGTGAAATAACTGTCAGTGTTTTGTGGAGAGACAAAAGGTTCTAATTAACTAAAAAATGAATTAGCAGTAATAATATAAATACACTACAATTTATGAGTATTGTTGTTATTTTTAGCATTACCTATTAGTGAGATATTATTACTGGACGACTGTCTTATATAATAAAATAAATACATTTTTGTTATATCCTAACGAAGAATAAATGAATGGTGACTGTTAGGAATTATATATGGACCATTATTACATATATTCTTATTGCATAACAATTAAGTAATTAAATTATATATATTTATATTTCTCGTTAAAATAAGCTTCCATTTGACCTATTGACTAATAATATATCATTTACTAAAGTTATATCCAATTTGTTAGTGACGGCATCTCACAATCATAGCCACTTTTTGGCTTAATCTTGTGTAATTGTTGTTCTCTATTTTATGGTATGATGTGATCTGGTTTGCTTGTATACTAAATTAAGTATGTTTGAAATGCATGATTCATACAGTGGAAGCTGAGATTGTGTTTTGGACTCAGACGAACAGGGCAAGGCGAGAAGAGCTAATAAGGACTCAGAGTTGACTCCAGGCTGTTCATACTGGTTAACGCGTCATTAATTTGGCACAGTGGTAAGGTCGAACAAGTCGTGTTCTACTTGGCAATTTGATCACGTAATAATTGACCGGACAAAATTCATCATCACCAATCTGCATCATGAGGCAAGCGCTAACTTGGAATCTTGAAGAGACAGGAAAAAGAGGAAGACCAAAAGACAACTGAAAAGGATTACCCAGGGCAGAGTCGGATGGAGAATCCTGGTGAGGGGTCTTTACTCCTCTATGAGGGCCAACAGGTGTAAGTAAATAGTAAGTAAGCTAGCTGGCGAATCCAGAACATGTATTCCATGCTATTTGGGACTCATCGTTTGGATGTACCTGTAATCCTGTAATGACGTTTGCATTGGGACTCGGACGTATTATCTTTCAGTTTAAACAGTGAATACGTAATCTACTGAATTACTGAATTCAGAGAGCTACACACTCGTTTAATGGGTACAATATTTAAATCATTTAGAGAGAAGATTTGAATTATTTAGTTGTTATTATGCTTAATTGAATTAAAATTTAGACTCATTATACAGGTAAGTAACTCTTTGTACTCAACATCTCAGTGGATAACGCTTTCAGGATTCGGACTGAAAGTTACTGGGTTCAGACGTTAGTCTAAACACCAACCAGGAATGACGGTAAATTACCAGGTAGGACGAAGAGTCAGTTCAGTGTTCCGCCTCTGGTCACAAGTTATCTCGTCTATACGAGACCTGATAACAATATTTGAACGACAACATATTTTGTAATGACATTCATTATGATTCAATGTCTTAGATTGATCAATCATTCATAACTGCCAAGTTTTAGTAGCAGTTAATAGATGACTGGGAATATTACTACAAAATATTTACATTTTCTACCCGGAACTAGATCATTAAAATAACAATGGCATGTAGAAATTCACCAAAATGCTTGTTACTTGTATTATTATAAATTTCCAGCTACCTGCCAAAAGCAGTGAGTTTTATTTTTATAATACTATCACTGGATGAATATACAGTATATACTATGTGCACTAAGGGAAGAGGCACCCGTTTTCACTGACCTATCTAATTAAATTATTAAATTGCGTAGTCAGTGTTAATTGTTAGTTTCTATATTGATTTGATAAAATGAAGAAGCTAATTCTTAAGCTATAATTTCATTGTTTTAATCTAATCTAGTTTTTCCATAAAGTGGATTGAAGTTACAAAGACCTATTAAGTTATCAAGGCTTAATTAAAATGGTTACTGTTAACAGAATTACTTTATTTACAGTATATTAAAAGTTCACTTGATTACAAAGCATAGTAACTTGAACAACAGAAGGATGATTGACAAACTTGTCTTTGAATAATTATATGTATGGTTGCCCCCAAATGCCCTGGTACGGACGAGAGTGGGGAGAGTCCGCCCTCTCTTTCGAAATGCTCTCACATGGCCACACGTATATAGTTTCTGCCAGAGAAGTCCTACTCACTGCCTTCTCGTGGCGGTAGTGCTTTTTACGAAAATGAGAGGACGAAAAGCGGACATCCGGCGCTTTAACCGGGTTGGTGGACATGGAGAGTCCACCTAGGGGAGTTGGAAAACCCTGATTCCAAACCAATGGTGCACATGGGCTCCAGTATCCGGAAGGAACAAATGGCGTATGAACCAATCGTTGGTCACCGACTACCATGGGACTGCATCTCCCTACGATGCTCGACTGCCTTGTGGATCAGACCTTCAGGTCGGAGACTCCGGGTGTGGCCCCCTAAGAAAACCACCTGTTTCGGTTTGGGCACCCGGGCAGTATCACAGCTCTCACATATATCAAACGAGATTTGTGTGGCGCATATGTATTTGGTGCCTCTTTGTATCAATATCTATGTGTTAAAATAAATAAATAATAACATAATAATATGTATGGTTAACCAATCAACTATAAGAGAGGCAAGAATTAGATTCACAGATTTAAGTAGTTGATTGTAAATATTATGTTTATACTACTATTTTTGTCACTTACTAGCATAAACTATAGTTTACATGATACAATTACCTCTTATTGTACAAAAATGAAATCAAAAGATATGCATTTCTTTTATTTCTTAAATTGTGTTTGTGCAAAATCATTTTTTGCTATACAGTTTTATTCAAATACAGGTAAAATTTCTTTTTATTGATTTTCATTATAAAATAGATTAAACGTGTAAACAAACAAAGAATTCTGCAGTCTAGATTATAAAACACATCAGGCGTCATCTTCTTGTCAGTAGGACTTCACATTATTAAGGTATAAAGGGGTGTACATGTATTTTTACTATATAACTGAACCTATAAAAACTTATACACAATTAAATTCCTTTCATCAATTAATAGTAACTATTATATTGGTATATTATCTATCTTATTATAAACTTGATCAAACATATTACTATTAAAGTTGAAATCAAAACCATATTTACTAAAATCAATTAATTCTTCATTATGATCATTTTCATTATTATTATTATTATTATTATTATTATTATTATTATTATTATTATTATCATTATTGATCAAATCATTATTATAATCAATATTAGTTCCAATAATTGTATTATTGATTGATAATGATTCTGAAAAACGTGTAAATAATTCATCTAAATATTTTGCTCTTTTTTGTTTATTTGACCATGAATTATTTTCATCAATTGTATTCATATTTATTGGTAATAAATGTTTAATTCGATCATTTGCAGTTGAATGAATTACACTTGGATATTTTGTTTGTTTTCTTATAGTGAATATTTTAAATTCTTTAAAAGTATCTAACTTGACAACAATTAATCGACCATTATAACCTAATTGAATTTTGATTGATGGTAATTCTGATAAATTAGATTTAACTTCATCAATTGGTGTTAATAATGCTCTACCAATAACTGAATAGTTATTATGAAGTTGATTATTGTGTATTATAACAAGCCATGCATTATGATATTCCATTGAGTATATAACACATACAATGTATAATTTATCTGGTGTAAATTGGGCACATAATACAATAGGATCATTTTGTGTACCGGGTATTAAATTCGGTGAATTCAATAAAGCCATTATACTTCCATTTTGAAAATTAATTAATCTTAAATTAGCATCTATACCATAAGCACCATCTGAGGAAACATCAATTAGTTTATCTACAATTGACATTTGACTAATAATTAAATCATTATTTTGTTTGTTTTTTAAATCTAACACTGTTATGTTAAATGTTGAATTTTCTTGTTCTAACCATAAATATTGTATAATGACTTTAGTTGGTTGTGCTTCACATGTAAATAAACGTTGAACATTAGGTGTACGACAAAAATCATCATGTTCTTTCAATAATTTATGTAAATTTATCTCATATACTAATTTTTTAAAATCTGGTGCTTCTAGCATTCGGATCCATTGTCCATTTTCTCCACAACATAATACCAAATATCGATCATTAAATATAATCTGTGTACCTTTAATAACTGGATGTTGTAAAAATGAATATCCTAAAAATCGTCCATTTGTAGACTCATAACGTGATAGTAAAGCTTGAGGTTTCTCATCAATTTTATTCAGTGAAGTTTTATTTTGAATATCTTTCGTTGAATAATTTTTATGTAGATCTGTCAAACTAGACAATTTTGTATTACTAGCATGATCTGGTTTCAAAGTGTATATACCATACTTTGTTGACATATGAAATATAAATTCTCCAATAATAGATATTTGACATCGTAATCCAGTGCCACCAATTTTATTATCTAAATCATATAGACGAATCACTGTTTGATCATATCCCATACTTGATGAATCATTATTCTTTTCTTGTAAAGATGTATAGTAATTTATATTTGGAAGTTTTGGTTTCTTATATTCTTTTTTTTCATTGTTCAATTCTGTATAAATGTTTCCTTCAGAATTATCACCTTTATTATCATGGATTATATTTTTAACACGATAAACCAATGCTAATCTTTTCCCATCTGAACTTAAATGACGTTCACATGGTGTATCTTCCAATATTGGTGTCATTAAAAAGTCTGTTTCAAAATTATTCATAAAAACATCTTGTAAATCTGGTTTAATACATTCAACTGATATAACTTTTTGAGTTATAAGATTATAATAGGAGAAGAGTTGTTGATTACCAATTTCAGTTGAATAAACAATATCTAATTCAGGATGATAATTAACTGTAGATAATTTTTTGCCAATTGGTATCAATGCCATAGGTCCTTGATTTTTTGAACCTAATATAAGTACATTTATATTTGTTAAAATAATACTTCCATTTGTTACAATGATTAGACTACCTCCTCGAATAAAATATGCTTCATCGATAGAAGTTTTAAATGTATCTATTCTATGTATTTTTACAAGTATATTTGTATTCGATTTATTAGTATTGGTTATTGGTCTATTCATAGTTACATTAGATGTGATTTGTATTGATTGAGTAGTATTGAATTCAATCAATTCAATCCATGTTTTATTTATAGATGATTTAATAAAATGTATTAAAAATGAATTAGTACTATCACTACCAAATCGTATTTGACTATTATGATATCCTTGTAGACCAGCAATTAATAATCTTGAATTAATTTGCCATATACCTATTATTAAACGATAATCATTAATATTATATAATGCAGCTAAATATTTTTCATCTGGTGATATCCATAATTTTTTTACACTGACTTGATGACGTACTTGATCCAGTATATTCATAGTTTCTAAATCCCATAAGAATGGAATATTAGTTTTCTTTTCTAATGATGATACTTCTGATAATGATTTCATTTGTATAGTTTTTAGATTCTTATACAAGTTTAACTCAAAATTTGGCTTTAGAATACGAATTTCTTTGTTTGATATCTAAAATAGGGGGGTAAGTTGTTTTTTGAAAAAAAATTGAAACATTCTGTTCAGGGAAACAATTTAAGGGTAAGATTTAGTATAAAAAGTGGTAAAATTGAAAACTTAAAAAGAAACTCAAAAGATATTGTGAACGTTTCTCATAGTTTGAGTCAACTTTTAAAAATGAAATTTGTAAAGTATAGTTGAACTTGATTAGGCCATAACTAATACAGTGACTGCTTGTTAACTGTTTATCTGGAAACTTAATACTTTCTGATTTCCTTTGAGGAGTAGAATTCTTGCATGAAGGAAGATCTATTTCGTTATTAGTAAGATTTGTTTTAGGAATTAACCAGAGAAAATCTCATACATAAGCATTTTCTTTTCACTTGACAATTACATACTGTCTGAAAGGGATTTTGATTATTATTATAATGATGAGTTTGATCATAACTAAAGGCCTCAAAAATATTTGCAACTATGATGTTTTGCTTCACAGTTTTGACTATTCTGATTTTCATTAGTTAAGATCATGAGTAAATTGGAGCTAGAACATCATGCAAAGCCTGGAATCGCTGAATGGCCGTCTCGTCCTATTGTAGGACTCCTCATAAGTACGCATCCATGATCCCGCCTCGCGGAATTCGAACCCGGGACATATCAGTCTTGCGCGCGAGCGCCTAACCACTAGACTACTGAGGCGGGACTCAACGATGTTAATGTCTAACTTCAACTAATCCACGAAAATGCACCACCATTCACCATTATCTTCAGTGAATTACTATCTTTTAACAGACCCGGTTGGACTCCACTGATGACGGCTTCTCATTATAAGTCCAGGAAATAACTGTTAAATCCAGTTACTAATTAGCATATGTTGATTAATATCAGAAGGGGTTCTATCAATCAATTATTGAACTATTTTGAAGTTAGAGATTAACACCATTAAACACCAACTCAATGGTCGAGAGGTTAAGCGTTTGCTTGCGAGACCAAGAGGTCCCGGGTTCGAATTCCGCGAGGCGGGATCATGGATGCGTACTTCTGAGGAGTCCTATAATAGGACGAGACGGCCATGAGGTGGTTCCAGGTTTTGTATGGTGGTCTAGCTTCAATTGATTCATGATCTCAATTAATGAAATTACTATAATGTCCACGAAACGCCTACTGATATTTTGATTTTGTCACAAATTTCATTTTTGCTGTAGAATAAAAATGGACATGAACTGTATCCAGTTTTTTTTAATGGGATTCAAAAGACGTTTAGCACATTGTTAAAACTATTGATAGTAAAGTTAGAGGGTGTCATACACATGTATAGTTTTATAGTTTATTTATTAAACAGAAACAAAATCATAGGGTGATACTACCGGCTTTGGTTTTAAGGTTTTTTCCTAGTAATTTGTTTGTTAACTCCAGAAGAAGCTAAAATCCAACTACTGAAGGCAATTCGCTACAGTTATTCTTTGATCGATTGTTTTATATAAGAATAGTGACGAATATGTACTAAAAGTCTTTAGTTCATACATATCTCTCTGGTCTTAATTACAAAGTATATGTAAAATCTTATGGAGATTACTATTTGAGACGGTTAAAACATGCCAAATTTAGAAACATAAAATCTCAATGGTTGAAGTGTAAGAATCTCTTTTAATCGTTTAATAAATTATATTTTTGTTTTAAAAAAGTCCAAATATAATTTGATTATTTTTTGCACTTGAAGTTTCTTCACTTTATCTGCTAAAAGTATAGTTTTGATGAAGTTTTGTTCTCTGAGCTAGATGGTTTGGTCGTGGAGCTTTCATCATTCTTGTAAACAATATCATCAGCACAAACTTCAGATAGAAGTGAAGTGTTCGAATTTCTCCACATCTGTTTTACAGCTTGTTCTGTACACCTCGACATTGATTAGTTCTTATTGACTTGAAATTTGTCATTGTTTACCCCATCCACCTGAGCTGTAAATCTTCTCCATCAGCTAAAAGTATACACTAAAAAAGAAATACCAAAATTTCACAGGTTGAAATCATGAGTCGATTGAAGCTAGACCACCATGGAAAAACTGGAAGCACTGGACGGCCGTTTTGTCCTAGTACGGGACTCCTCAGCAGTGCGCATCCACGATCCCGCACCACGCGGGGCTCGAACCCAGGACCTACTGGCTTTGCGCGCGAGCACTTAGCCACTAGACCACTGAGCCGGCATCCAACGGTGTTAATGTATAACTTCAACGACCGTCCAGTGCTTCCAGGTTTTCCATGGTGGTCTAGCTTCAATCGACTCATGATTTCAACCTGTGAAATTTCTAAAACTCTCCACGAAACCCATTCTGAAAATACTAAAAATCTTAATAAAAAATATTTTTACTTACCAAAGTTAAATCAAACCGATATATTTGACCTAAACTTTTACATCCAATAAATAAATTATCTCCTCTAATATTTGCTTGAAATATAATTGGTGCTAAAGGACATTTTATCCATGCTACTACATCATTCAATGCATTCTTTAATCGAACTTGTACATCATTATTATTTATCTCTTTGAATTCATTTTGATTAATTTGTTGTTTTCTTTTCTTTTCTATACTTGTTTTCATTGGAATGAACCATTTTGATGGTCCAAAATAGATTCGATCATTTGGTAATATATAAAATGGTAATGGAACTTTAGATAATATATTATTGATTGGTTTTAAATTTGGTATAGTATAAACAATTGCATAATCTTGATTGTTGATATGTTTTTCATTATTTCCTTTAGGGATATATTGTTTAATTACTATACTAGATCGTGTTATACATAAAATTTTTAATTGAATTGGATCTGTTACACATAGATTTCCTTCAATATAACCTAATTCTAAATTAATTGATAAAATTCCATATTTTTTATTATTTACATCATTTATCGAATAGGTTAATAGAACTAATTGATTTTGATGTATTGGCATATAGGCTTGATGAAATTTATAATTTATCCATTCACCAAGACTAAATGAACATGATTTAGTTAAGGAATTCACTTCCCATAAATGAATAATAACTTCATTACTATTTATAATTAATTGGTTTGTATTATTATTATTATTATTATTATTCGATTGATTCAATGGATTCAATGTTAATGTTAATAAAAATCTTGAATCTGATGAAATCGTTATAATTTCTTTCATTTCATGTTTATTTATATCATTCATAAATGTAGAAAATCCTGTATCATTATATTTATATTGAACATTTAATAATTCAGGTTGTAATGGTGATTGATAACATATAGATAATAATGGTAATAGACAATTCACTTTATTTGAATCACAATCAATACTATTTAATAATAAACGACTTATATTTATATATTCTGTATTCACTAAATGTCCAATACGTCCAGCTAATTCAATATTTAATATTGTTGGTATCAGTGATAATTTAATGGATAAATTTCTTAATAAATTTAATAAATACATAATTTCATCATTAGTTCTTAATTGATTTAATTGTCTTAAATAATAAAATTCTGTAATGATATCATTTGGTCTTAAACCTAATAATAATTTACCGAATATATAATCAAATGAAAAGATAACATACTTTAATAGATCTTGTATACTCTCTGAACCTAGTTTAAATAATTGATATGGTAATTCTGTAAGACGACGTGTATTACATATATAATATTTATTATATGTTCCTATTATCACTTCAGTAGAATTCAATTTGATTGATTGATTCATAGATAACCAATAATATATGGTATGAAATGAATCTTCAGTATATTCTATATTACTATTATTATTAGTAGCATTATTCATTGGTTTTATTTCATAGGAATGTCCAATTTGTTTTGTATGTTGTTCATAATCATCATGTCCATTATTCAAACCTAACCAATAATCTGTCATATATCGATGAAATATAAATTCATTTGATAAATTATCATTTTGTTTATTATCATGATTGAAATCGATTTTATTTTCATTGATTAAAAATTGATCATTATCATTATTATTATTATTATCTAAATATGAATTCCAAAATAATAATACACCATGACGATAAGATTCATGTGTAAATGTAATTAATAAACGATTATCTGTTTTAATAAACATTAAATATTTATTTATACCATAAATTGATGAACATAATAAATTCAATAAACAACCAATAGGGAAATATTTTAATGAGATATTCATTGAATTAGATTGTTTTCTTGCTTCTATTATATTGATATCATTTTGTAATAATTCAATTAATTCATTCATTGTTAAACCATAACGTGAACATGCTATATATGGCATAAAACGTAATAATGCTAAATGTAATATACTTTGTTGTTTCATTAAAGAATAAATTTGTTTTAAACGTATAATAAATAAATGACATAAATTATTAGGTAATATCTCAGGTAAAATGAAATGAATTTTCTCATTGAATTGTAGCGTTAATATATCAGCTAATAATTCTATATAAGTTAATGTGATATTATTTTCTAAATTTAAATTGATTAATTGATTATTGATTTTTTCATCAATTATTGATACATTTGAATTGAAATGTTTTCGAATTAATTTTGGTAAAATATTATTGATTATATCATTCAATGAATAACATGATGATAAATTAATACAACAACCTTGACCAAAACGTTTTGTAAAATTTTGAATAATTTTTTCTGAATTTGTTGTGATTAATAAACGGATATATTGATTAGGTAATTCATATGGTAACCATTGAAACATTTGTACATGTTCATCTGGATATAATAATTCTATATTGTCAATTAATATCAGTATTGGTTTTAATGGATTAGCTAAATTTAATAGAATATTTAATAAACGTACAATTTCTGCATATTCACATAATGATTTAATATTAGAATAATTTATATTAAATTTCATTATTAATTGTTCAATAATTTGTAATAATACAGATTGTAATGATGTGGATAAATAGGTACGACCAATACAACATATAATTATAATTGGTTCTATGATAGATTGGGATATAGTTAAATGAGTTGATAATTGATTTGAATTTGATATTGATTGATTGTTGATTTCAGATTTTGAATGAATATGCTATAATATATATATACATTGAAAATTTTAAAAAAACAAAATTATGCTGTTGTGATTTGTGCTACTTATATTGATATAAGTAGTATATAATATTAGTCAAAAATAGAATGTCCGATAGCAAAAGTTCAAGATCAAACAGGAAAGAATGGGAACAGAAAGCAATTGGTATGGAAATGCAGAAACAATCAAATTTGAAACGATTAACTGATATTTGGAAAAGAGAACAGTCAAATTTTAGGCAATTGAATGACATTTTGCAAATGAAGTATTTACTTTGATGCAGTTTTATTCTTTGAGCTGGATGGTTTAGTCGTGAACGAAACTTCATCAAAATCATCCACTATCGCGAAGTATTTACTGTATGATTTTCAGGTTTTACTAAGATGTTTTGTAATTTTGTGTTCAGATATATTCGATTGTCTCCATTTGTGTTCTCGTTCATTACGGTGGTAGTTTGAATGTCATGCATTACAGATTATATTAACATCCCTTATATTTTATATTATATTTATGTTGTTTATTCGCTTGTAATGTTACTACATTGTGTAGTTCTTTAAAATAAAGAGATATTTAGCTTGTTGGATTAAAAATTTACATTCGTTCCTTTGACTTATGAGAGAGAAAAAAGGGAATGGTAACTATACAAAACTTCAAAATAAATCAATTGTACAGAGAGAGAGTAATTAATCGTTTTTTACTTTATCAAAGACATGAATCTTTGATTATCTTCGTTTCTATCATTTTGATGATATTAGTATGATTTAATACGTCTTGAAAAAATGGTTATTATAAGGATGAGAGATTTTGAATGTAAAACCTCACCTATTATATTTTTGATAAATGCTTAATCTTATAGTGATTGGTTTTCTAATCTTTAATTTCATCTTATTATTATATATGATCTTACGATTAATACGTAGAGGCTAGTATCCTCTATATTTGACTGCAATAAATAATATCCCGTTAACTGAGTATTGAATACAGGCTGAATCCCCTCGAGATTATTCAAAATCCTGAACACCAATTATAGAGACAGTTTCTTGTTAAAGATTGGTAAAATCCGCCAGCGTACAGGAAGGAAGCACACAGTGAAACCAAAAGTGTTTGTGTTAAAAATCCATATATATTTTTGAGTGTTAATCAAGTATGGATAAATTATTGATTATCTGTGTGATTCAACCAATGGGAGAATAGATTGGAAATTGATGTGCAGACATATACTCAATCATACTCACACGGAAATTTACATAGTGGATTAAGTGTTTAAATTACGGTGAGCAGATAAATAATACAGTAGTTGAATGGGCTTACTACAGATAAACCTGAATGGACAAAGGGGGAAGACATGACTGTGTAGGAATTTGAATTGATCAATGCCAAATGAATAATACTTATGGCTAATATGTATTTATTTGGATACAGACTAATCTGATCATGGATATATGACTGATGCGTTAGGATAGGTGAATAACCAAATTGTTTATCATTACTTTCCTATGTTTAACTCTGATTTAGTGTAAAAATCTTCACATATTGTATAACCTACCTAACTTACTCAGTAAGTCAATTAGTCATTCAACGCAGTTATATATACAAAAATTTGAATGAGCTGCAATCAGATAAGTAGTATCCAACGCTTTTTATAGGACTGTGAAAATCTACTTACTACTGATCATTTATTAACATAAAACTCAAAAGCTTTAAGTAATACAATGCTTTTACATTTCTTGTGTATCAATAATTCATTTTACAAAACATTAAATGAAAATTCATTTGATGTTGTTTGCAGCGAACGGTACTGGGTTCGAGTCCCGAAGTGAACATCAACTCTGAGATGCAGGTACATCCAGCTGACGAGTCACAATTAGGACGAAACACGTATCGTGGATTCCACTACTAGCCACTATTCATCTTTGTTTAAATTAAAGATTTTTTTTTAAATGGATGAACATTGATAAGTCAATATGTATTATCAAAGGTATTTATAGCAAAGTAGATAAAAATAAGTTTAAAATAGCGTAGGAAAAACAAAGTATTTCTTTCTAAATTTCACATACAGTTTTTTCTATCAGTTCAGGGTAGATACAAATAATTGTCAAGTTTTATTATTAGTATTTTTTTAAATTAATGAACTTCATTTCAACTGAAATAGTTCTATTTTAATTTCCTAATCGATAAAATTGTATACCAAGTTTAACTAATATTAAAATTAGATTGAAAGGAATGTGAAGTTGTTTGATATATATATATATATGAAAGAGATAATAATATATTAAGTACGTTTGGATAGATATTAGATAATTAGTTTGTATCAGAAGGGGTTTTTATGGAGATTTTAGTAGTTTTATAGTTGAATTCATGAGTCAGTCGATGCTAGATCACCATGGAAAGCTTGAAAGCACTGGACAGCCGTTTCGTCCTATTGCGCATCCATGATCTTGCCTAGCGGGGTTTGAACACAGGACATATCAGTTCTGCGCTAACGCTTAACCTCTATATTACTGAGTTCGCATCCAACAATGTTAATGTTCAACTTCAACTAATTCACAGAATTGGGCCACCATCCACCATTGTCTTCACTGAGTTATTATCTCACAACAGACGCGGTTGAACTTCACTGATCACTGCTTCTCACCAGAACTCCAGAAAATACCTCTTCAAGCCAGTCACTAGTGAGCATATGATGATTATAATCACAGAGGGATTTTGTGGATATTATAGTAATTTAATAGTTGAATTCATGAGTCAATTGAAGCTAGACCATCATGGAAAACCTGGAATCACTGGACAGTCATTTCTTACTGATTATTTGAAATAATTTGTAGTTATTTGTTAAATTATTAAAATCAGTCAACGAGAGTTTGGTATCTCATACAAATTTCCCTACTAATAAATTTGATTAGAGCATGAAAAACATCCTAGCCAATTAACATTAAGTTTATTTTGTAGTTCCTCATCAGTTACTTATAACTTAAACACTATAGTATTAGTTAATAACAGTTCACGTATATAGTTCATATTATAATATCGGAAATGTTCTTATCGATTAAGATTAATACATCATAAATATGTATGGAAGAAGTTGAGACTAATAGATCAACTTATTGGTGATACTACAATTTATGGACGAATCAATCAGATTTAAGATAACAGATCTTGGATTTCGACATGAAATTCATTGATCCATTCAGCTAAATAGCGTTTCAAGATTATAGCTAATGTCAGTTCTTGATGAAAACTCTAAATCTAATTCCTATCCATAATCATCAACTGTAAATCACGATCCTTGTTCTTCACATTGGTTTAAAACCCTCATTTAGCCTTAGTCAGTAGGTGGACACTCTCAAGGTTAATTTAGCGTTGTTCAGCGGTCGTCCATAATTTATAGTCTCACCAACTTATCCTCAATAGTTTAGTCTCTCATTATTTATCTGGTAGTGGGTATGACATTATGATTTCAAGCTTGTTTAAAACATCTGCCGAAGCCAACTATATCAAAGGTCATAAACCAGATTTCTGCACTCAAAAAGATACTATTGTTACTCGCATCTTGTCCTGGTGACCTCTGTTTTCAAAGTGTTATTTCCTAATTGCTTTTTGCTTATAACTAGACAATTAATTTTTTCATACCTTGTTGATTTTTATCTGAGTTTCTCTCATTCTAAACTTAGAATCAGTCTAATATTGTTTTCATCATGTAACTTTTATTATCGATCTTTTTCAGTAATTTGTCTCTATATGCTTTATAGAGCTTTTTTTAAAGAGTTTCCATATTATTTAACATATACATATTTAATTATCATTTCAACATCTTTCATAATTTTTCCATATTTATTCCCATTGTATTATTCTTCATTGATGAGAATATTCCCAATATTATGATATCACGTATGTACACGGATCTTTATTAATTAATACTATTATGTTTAGGTAGTAAGCAACTGATGAACAACTATGAAATGAAATGAATCAACGTTCTTTTACTACATTCATTTTTCTTATATTGTCCAAAAGTCTGCTGGTTGTTATATAAAGTAGGCTTTATGGAGAAAATTATCCTCCAATAAATAAACCTATTCCTTTTTAATATCCTGATCAAAAATGTACTACCACAACATCTGAACAACAATCGATATCATTTTAAAAGTGGATTAAATGTATATATTATTTAAATAGCTAGTACTGACTATTGATTATTCTAGGTTTAAAGTAAAAAGATTACTTTTAATAGGTGAGATCATGAGTTAATTGAAGCTAGATTACCATGGAAAATTTGAAATCACTGAACGGTCTTTTCGTCCTATTGTGGGACTTCTCAGCAGTGTACATCCACGATCTCACCTCGCGAGACTCGAACCCAGGACTTATCGGTCTCACATGCTAACGCTTAACCTTTAGACCAATGACAACCGACATTCAATGATATTATTGTTTAACTTCAACTAATCCACAAAATTAAGTGATATATCCAACAACAACAACAACAACAGCAAATTACATCAATATCAAAATTTTACAATCACTTATATAACTAACCATAAAATAATTCACTGTCCATCGTAATAAACTAGTTTTACCAGAACCTGGTGGTCCATATATTATTCCTGGAAGTTTTGAATTACCTATTAAATAATTTTTGATAATATTAATTTCACGATTACGTGTTTTATGCATTAATTTATTATTCCAATTATAATAATCATTATCATTGATATTCGAATCATTTTCATCTATATTCTCTATAATATATTGATAAGGATGTAATTGAATATTTAATTGTTCCATTGAATACATTAATAAATCATAATGACTATCTGCTTCAATTTCATTACTTAATTGTAATTTTGATTGTTGTTTAAATTTCAATTCATTAAATAAATTTGTTATAGATTTTTTAAATAATTTTAATAATTGATTAATAAATAAAACTAAATAATTAATCCATGTTATATTATTCAATGTTAAAGATTGATTATGATCATGGTCAGGATCAGTCTGATTATGCAATCGATTAAATTGTTTCATTTGTAAACGTACTTTTGTTAATAATAATTTTTCTTTATCTAATTTATTATAAATATCAATTTCTTTCGATGATAAATTCGTAAAATCATTTATTATATGTATTGGTATGGTTAATTTAATGATTTGATCTTTATTTATATATTTTTCTAATGTATTAATAATATGAAAACATTTTTGTATTGATTTTGGATCAGGGATTAATTGTTTTTGATTGATTGATTTATTGATTTCTGTATATTCAATTAAATGATCAAATAACATTTCTTTATTATGAATATTTTTTGTTAGATTGTATATTTCTTTGAAATTATTGATTGAATGAATATTAGTCAGACCTTGAATATGACGTTCTATTAAGATACTGTGTTTTCTTAGATCTGGATATTTTTCAAGGAGTTTTGTATAACGTTCTATATCTTGATATTAAAGAAAAGGTGTATATAAATTATAGAGAGATTTTATAAAGATTGTATAAATTTAATCATTGAATTCATGAGTTTATTGAAGTTAGACTGTCATTGAAAAACTTGAAAGCACTAAATGATCATTTCATTCTGAAAAGTTCCATACTAGGATGAAATGGCTGTTTAGTGCTTCCAAGTTTTCTATGATGGTCTAGTTTCAATTGACTTATGAATTCCATTGTTGAATAATTGAATTTGAATATATGAATGGTTAAAATTTAATAATAAAACTTATTTCGGCGAGATTATAATTTATAGATGAATCAATCAGATATAAGATAATAGCTTTGGGATTTTGGTGCGAAATTCATTCATTCGGATAGATAGAGTTTTTGGCACTATAACTAATGTCAGTTCGTGATGAAAACCTGAAATCTAATTCCTAACCTTAATCATCAACTGTAAATTATGATTCTAATTCCTCGCACAAGTTTATCACCCTCATTAAGTTCTAGTTATTAAGTGGACACCCTCAAGGTCACTCTGGCGTCATTCAAAAATCGTCCATAAATTATAGTCTCACCTTGATTTTCAATAGTGAAATTAAAGGGATTTAGTAAGCTCATCTATTTACTAAAAGGGTAAATAATAATTTCCTTTAAAATATTTGTTTTTTTATACATGTAACTTTTACTGATTGTTAGAAGAATTAAATTCAGTAAAGTATTAAACTTTGTTATTATTCTATAAATTGCACTGATTAATCATTATCAAGGTTTGACTTGATAATTTCGAATAAACTGAGCATTGGGTAGATTGTTATAAATAAATTAGTGGTGAGACTATAATTTATGGACGACCTTTGAACGACGCTGAAGTGACCTTGAGAGTGAACACCTACTGATTAGAGCTAAATGAGAGTTATAAACCGGTTAGAATTCTCATTTACAGTTGATGGTTAGGGTTTAAAATTAGATTTAGGGTTTTCATCACGAAGTGACATCAGCTATAATACCAAGGCTCTGTTTAGCTAAATGTATGAATGAATTTCGCGCCAACATTCATGACTTGTTATCTTATACGTGATTGGTTCGTTCATAAATGATGGTCTCGCCAAATCAATATATTTGTAATATCCTAAAGAGTAGAAAACAGTTTTTTCTGACGTTTCGTGACTCACTGTCAGCCATTTCTTCAGAATATTAATATTCTTGAGTTGTACTAATTAAACTTGGAATTAATTTTGATTTGGTTATTTATTCTCTGAAGAAGTGACTTGCATTAAGTCACGAAATGTCAGAAAATTTATTTTTCCTGCTCACTAGGATATTACAAATATATTAATTTATTTATAACATTGATTAATGTAATATAATCATCCAGCAGTGAAAATGTCAATATTTCCCTAATTGAATAAATATACTGGAGTAATGTCTCTATGGCGAACTTAATCAATCAGATGTCTAAATACTAATGTATCCAAATTTTATTGATCTGGAAAAATAAGAATTTATTATCAAAAGGGTTTTTGTAGATATTATAGTAATTTCAATGGTTGAGATCATCAGTTAATTGAAACTAGATCATCATATGAAATCTGGAAGCGCTGATGAAGAGTTCCACAATAGGACGAAACGGCCGTCTAGTGTTTCCAAGTTTTTCATAGTGGTCTAGCTTCAATTGACTCATGTTCTTAACTGAAGAATCTGTTATTTGTGCTACTGATTTTTTTGAGATTTCCTTAATGACTACTTGAAGTAACTACAAGTAGTAATAAATAAATTTTAAAAGATTATATTGCAATCATACAATCTTTTAAATATTCATGCTTCCTAGATATATGACTAACACTTGTACAGTATGTTTTTTCTCAAGGATCATATAAATTCTTATCATTTGAGTTAAAGATGTGCTATTTTTTTTTCTTTTAGACTGCTGTTGTTAACCCATAGATTAGCGATAATTGTAGAACAGTGATAGAGTGGTAATAAACATTACGATGTACACCATAAATAAGTTATTTTTAATAGTTAGTAAATAATTGAGCCTAAACGTATCCTGAAATTTGCCTGATTCATTAATACATTTCATTTAAGGGTTTTAAAACGTTTTTCAAAGAAAGAAATAATTCGGATCAAACAGCTTTTATCAGTAATATTTACATGATTTAGTTAAATTTTTAAGCATTCAGTTTCTCGTTATAAAGTTTAACCTCATTGATTATTCTTTTCGCTTTTATGTATTTCATTATAACACAGTTTAACCAGTGTGTAATTTTTTGTTCAGAAGGTTTATGGATAAATGACTTGTTTTATCGCACTCTTACTGATCTATTATTTAATATTTCTTTATTATTTATTCGATTCTCATAAAATTAATAGATAATTACTTTCCACAGTAAACTATAATTTAGTCATGATTCAAAATTAATTCAATGATATACTTTCACTTACTCAATCGAGATAAGATGGTGGTTGGAAGTAGTCAATAGGGAACTTTGAACCTAGGTTTCGTTCTACATGGTGTACCTAAAATCTTAAGGGAGCTGATGCTGATAGCCCGGATAGCCCAGTGATAACGCCTCTGACTATGAAGCTAGGTGACACTGAATTGAATCCTCCAGGGAGCATCAGTTTCCTCAAGATTATATAACATAATCATGGCTGTTTGAAGGTAGTTGGGAGTGAAACAGAATATTAAATATGGTAATATCTGATTTATTTTTAAAAGTATATTTTTAATTGGTAATTGAAAGCAAAACTGAAGTTTTAAAATAAGTAGTTGTTGATGAAGAGATTTTAAACAAAGAACACTTAATTATACTTAAAGTATTAAAATAAATTATATAAAACTTATGGTTAACTTATTTCATGATTGTTGTAAGTGAGAAATGATAAATAGTCATTTAGATGCATAGATCGAGTAATAAGTTTATCTCAATTACCGAATCGTATATTGAAAAATATAATTTGGTGTTAACTGAAATATACTACTAACTTCTTGTAACTACCTAGATTTTTTCACATCATTACTCACTCGCTTTTACTATGTATGAATCAATAGGTTCTATCATAACAATAATAGTAATAATAATAATAGTGATAATAATAATTATTGTTACTGTTATTATGCTTGTGCAAACCCGTATACGGGTAGTTATGAGAGGTGTATGTACTTTGGTTATATCCTACTTATAAAAGATACTGTTATGAAAATGAATAGCTGCTTGAAAATCCAGAAAATATGGTTACATGATAAAGAAAGGAAAACTTGCTTTCCCCCCTTCTTTAGATTGACTTTTCCAGTGGACTAGAAACAGAGAAGATGCTTTGAGAAGATCAGTAAACATTGATAACTGAATGTGAAACGATTGTAATTTTGATGATACAGTAAAATTATTGTCTATATCAGAGTATGACGTTTTATTTACTAGATGTAAATCTAATCTCAGCACATTTCACAAGTCATAATATCACAGAATACAAGATTCCTTATTTGCAAATTAATCTACTCAATTGGTTAGTATTAATACAAGTAAATTTATGATAAACGATCATTCTGTTGACCATTAATTTGAATATAATTTAACAATCTCAATGTTATACTGATAACAACAAAACACTTCATAAGTTACCAATTAAAAGATTGATTTCATATTCGAAAACACTTCATGTATCTTTCATATCCTTGATACAATTTACTTTGAAATATATGCCTATACTGTATAATGAACTATATTGGTCCCATGTTAATTTCTAGTACAAAATAAGGTGTACTTCAGTACATCTTGAATATTCACATTGAAATCTATGAAGATGATAAGTGAATTAATTTGAACTAGGTTAATGAAATTGACAGATATAAACAATATGGTTATCATTTACGTCAAGATTATTGATACTACTTTTATGAAATTATGTTTCATAACGTTGATATTGACTTGTTTATAATTTATATGGATACATTCTAAGGAACTTGAATATTGCAGTTAGAAAAAACGGTTAATTTATTATACCATATGATAGTTTCAAGGCGATATTTTCACTATGATTCAATCTTTTAATTGCGATAATGATGAAAAATCTAACTACTGTAAACTGATAGGAACTTTTAATGAACGAAGTGTGTGAAATAGCCTAATTCCATATATATATATATGGTAAATCATTTAATCAGGTTAATTCCTGACTTGGCAAACTTGTAACGATACTTTATTATGAATTGCTAATGATAATTAGTTAGTTACAAATGTGATGTGATCCAATACTAGGGCAAAACATCACTATCACTGAAAACGAAAAAAAACATCATGTAACTTTGAGGAGTACCATTGTTTGGACAGTATCAATATTATTTGTACATAATTTTCGTTGGTTTGTGTTCCTCACTCTCCCATAGTTAAATAATCATATTTTGATTATATAAGGAATTTGTTGTGTAATCAACCGATGTCTTAAATATTTTCAATTACATTAGTAGAATATATGGCTTGTAAAAATAGGTCTCAGACAATGATAATAAATGACCAACTAATGACTGAGTTTGAATAGTTTATCTCTATTATACAATATATACTTCTCGTTTAAATTATTAAGTTGATGGGCATTATTTAACTGTTTTCATAGTTTAAGACAAAATTACTGGTTTGCAGACAAATGTACGTTACAGTAAGATTTTTATTTCAGAACACACAATATACAATTACTCATTTATTTATTTGGTATTTATAACGCTTTATGAGTTTAAACTATTCATCAGTGTATATTCTTATTGTTTCTCATTGAATCAGGGATTTTTTTTACTATATTTGTACTTCATTTCACAAAGTTACTGCTGTAATCATGAAAAGACTCGTTAAGTTTTTTTATTTCCTATAAAGTTAAGTAGTAAACACCTAAAAAATCCTTTGCAGGTACAAGTTAAACGAGTAATGTCTCTCTAGTTCACCTTATTCTTTCATTGAAATTATAATATCATGATGAAAATATTATGGCAATACTGATGTAATATAGTTTTAGCCATTGGCAATAAAAAGAAAGTTTCTTTTTAATACTAAATGAAGTATATTAATGAGATGGTAGAGAAGATTTGTAGCTTAGGTGAATGATTTTGATGGAGTTTTGTTCTCTGAGCTTTCATCGTTCTTCCAAACGACATCATCAGCACAAACTTCAGGTAGAAGTGAAGTGTTCGAATTTCTCCACATGTGATTCACAACCTGTTCTGTACACCTCGATGTTGATTGGTTCTTGTTGACCTTAAACTTGTCATTGTTTACTTTTTTGTTTTGGTATATTAATACTTATCAACTGATTATGTGAAATAAAAAACACTAATTTAATTTACTAGTTTTCTTTTCTTTAAAGAAAAATTAGGTCATCATCATTCATTATTGCATAATATACACATATTTCTTTCATGATTAAACCATCCATTTAAACCTACCACATATGTCATTGATCTTCAATTATAATTTCTCATTTATTACCCGCATCAAACTAATAATGAACCATAATTATAAATAACATTTGGATTTATCACTTAATTAAAATTCGCATCAATTTGTGAAATAGTTTATTCATTTAATACAATTATTACCAGGTAATAATCGGTAGCTTTGTTAACA